TGCAGTAAAATGTGTATGAGTTGAAGCAGAGGTAAACAGTCTCTTCACAACCATTCCAATTTCATGTTCAATAAATAAGGATAAATTACCTAATTTCACCTCCTCTATATATATATCTACCAGTTTGACTGCAGCTGCGAAACCAACCAGCTACATACACACAGGTTTATCATCCTAATTTCGAACATCGTCCTGAACGAATTATCTAGGGAGAAACAAGATTCCTTCACAGCTCCGTTTTAGCACACTCTGCAGACAATCAGCATAAAGGTAATGTGCATACAGCATCTACAGTTATTTATCTCATTGCTTTACGAGTCCATCTTCTACATAAAACTGAAACCATCGGGAACTAACTAAAGAGGACAGACCTATGTGTTCAGAAATAATTCATGCAGCCACTTTCCTCACCTTGGTCATCGCTACACGAATGTAGAAAAATTTGATAATCTCCTCCTTTTCCTAAAGTGTTTACAAGTTTTAACTGTCTTGATTATATATGTATATATTTGTGCGTTGTTGGTTCAGAGGTGGAACGCCAACCAATGAAGTGGTCCTAAGATCAGTTCTCGGCCGATGCACCCCCGGAATTCTCTAAGCCGGTAGTAAGTCCGGTAAAAAAGGACGGTTGGACGTGTGGCTAGCAAACCCGCCTTGTTAAAATAAAGCCACTGCAACCGAAACTTCAAAGCTCCCACTTGAAGCCCTATTTTTCACTCAGATCGTATAGGAGTAAAATAAATTATATATATTGCTGCATTTCTGCGCCTCACCTTCTTCAGTCATGTTCTTGTTCATATAAACGTCGAAGAAAAGATTCCACTGATGGCAGTCTCAGTCTATAATCACCACCTCACTTGATCCCGTTACTGAAGTACGTTGAATTTGTCAGCGGAATTTTACACAGACGTGCTGACAAAGGCATAAACGTACAATGGTTCGAAGGAAAACGTAGAATAGGCAGAAGCTCAGCTGTAAAGCAAAAGCGACATCAGTAGGGACTTCATTCCGCGTTATACATATGGCAGTATTGAGCTAATCAAAAGGATTTTGCTCACATCTTCTTCATATAGCCAATACTCTTATCATATATAGAGAAAAACATGTACTTCGTATTCAGGCACACTTTATCCAACATTTTTAAGAATCATACGTGAATATTGGTTTTCTTTGCTTCATTTGTCACAATATAAATTCTATATAATTTCTTTGTCACCCACATTCGGTATTTTGTGCCCTGGTATGCTATCAGTTATCTCCAAATAGGTATTTATCACATCATGGATTTCTTATACATTCGCTTGATTATGTAATATTATTCATTATGTTTTGCAATATTATTGTCTTCATACACTTTGACTCATATTCGTCACTATCTGACAGTACGTCGGTGTTTCATCAGAATAAAGCCCACTAGTGAAACTCGGCCTCTAGATTCAGTTCCCAGTGCTGCACTATTTAACGTCGCCCACAGTGGCTCTGGTAAAGGTGGAAAGTTAAGCTTAAATCCAGGAGCGGCGACCCGCAAAAATAATTCCATCATAATGAAACTTTATAAACTGGAGCTCCACATTTTCTCATCTGAATGTAAGAAAAACAATAGTCTCAGACCAGACTAAACATATCAGCCCTTTACATGGCTTTACAGTTTTGATGAGTTGCTAAGAAACAAAACCGCAGTTTGGGCTTACATGTTCTTACAAAGAAATGACATACAGAAAAGAATTGCTCTTTTCAGAGATATTATTATGGAGGTGTAGAGTTGCGTACATGCAGTACATTTTCTTAGCAACATTTTCAAAGCTGTATCATCATAGCTATAAATTCTAGAGAGCGACAACGCAAAATGAAAAGGGCTAATCACTTGGAAACTGAAATCAAATTGAATATTGCAACTGAGTGACATTAAGTGATTGGTGGGACTGAGTAGACCTCAAATGAAATTAAAAGACAATCAGGTTATTGATTATTATTAATATTGTTCCCTTGGGTTCCTAGTGGAACATAGGGCTTCAACTGCACGCCTCCACTTACTTCTGTCTTCTGTGGAACTTTTCACCTGCGTCCATGTTAATCCATACTGTTTCAACTCTTCTTCACACGATCTCCTCCATCTCACCCTTCGACGTCCCACTCGCCGCTTCCATTTCGAGGTCCACTTGAGCTATAGCCTGACGTGCGATGTCACCCAGCGGCCTCCTCCTCAGCGAGTGTCCAATCCATCTCCACTTTCTCCTGCATATTTCTTGAGCGGTTGGTTTTTGTTTTGTTTGTTCCCATAGCTTCTTGTTTGTGATTCTTTCCGGCCATCTGTCTGATCTTCAGTATAGAACGAAGACAGTTGTTGATAAAGGTCTGCAACAGGCTGTTGGAAATATTCTTTGTGACCCGCCAAGTTTGTGACCCGTATAGAAGAACTGACTGACTTGACGTTTGTATTGAAAATCCGAATTTTGTTGTTGATGTTGAGTGACGAAAATTTCCAGATTGGTTTCAGGTTGATGAATGTGTTTCTCGCCTTCCTGATTCTCGATTTGACATCCTCGTCCGTTCCTCCTGTAGTAAAGATAATGCTCCCCAGATAAGTGAATGAAGTAACCTCTTTCAAATCCCTCCCGTTGATGGTGATTGGCGCTGGATGTTGCTGTTGTTGTTGTTGGTTGGTTGGTTGGTTGGTTTTTTTCATAACCTCCGTCTTGTCTATGTTCACCTGGAGTCCTATCTTTACTGCTTCTTCGCTTGTAAGTCTTCGATTTTGTGTGACATCAAACATAAATCATCCAGGTCTTCTAGGTTCTTCACGTCGGTCCAGGATATTCCTGTCTTTTCGTGTCCCTTAACGTGACAATCGCGTTAAGTACAGTAATAATGAGTAAAAATGTAATAGGGAGGGGGGAATTGAGAATGATATAATCTAAAGAACGAAAAAATTACTTATGAAGTGTTAAGACAGTTTAGGTTCATTCTAGTTTCACTAGCTGAACAAACTTCTCCTGTAAGCAGAGTTCAAGATTTAACATGTGAATCACCATTACTTCGGCTGTTTAAAGAGTTTTGATTCGTAAGTCTTTAGCAAGATTCCTACACATTGTGTAAATGACTTTCAGGTTGTTTTGCGGGTGCGCTTGGTGCGTAGAGTCGATCAGGTGTTGCAGAATATGGAGAGTGAGTGTTCGTTTGGACGGTGGACCCTAAGCATGACCTACATGCCTAGCTCCGTAGAAGCAGGTGACACACGTTGATGAAACCAGGAGTGGGAATCACTGGATTTTCAGAGAAAGTGATTGTAAGTTCAGCCTCGAAGGTTCTCTTCAATGAGCAGGACATGCTGTTTCTCAGTATTTTTGCCAAAGGGTCACAATAGAACTTTATATTTAGGCTGATAAGTATTTTAGGGATTTAGGTTTCATGGAGTTCCATGGATGAAGCACAGTTCGTGATGGACATTTTCATTGAGAATCCATCCGCCCTTTTCCTAGTGCCGTCGCTGCAGATTTTATCAAGTCCGTCGTTCATTGGCTTGGTCAGGTTTCGTTTAATTCCTAATTCACATTATACACTATTTGAAGATCTTATAAAACTTGGGAGTAATGGAGAGGTGTTTCATCCTATCTTTGTGGGACTCTTCAACACTGCAACCCCACGACCCTACTAGAGATCGAACTCGTGAACTTCAGGTTACGAGACCAAACTCGCTAACTATTTGACCAGAATTCAACTGCTTGTGAATTCTTGATATAGCATTACCCTCAACAAATAACTTCGATGAGCATTCACTGCCCCTTGACACATGATCGACCCCATTTTTTGTGACGACTTTTCAGTACAGCTTCACGACGTGCATCCAGTAGCCATCATTCACCTGACAAAAATCTAAATTTTCAAGTGTTGGTTTGTAGGGATTTGATTGGTTTCAGGATTTCATCATGAGCTGACATTAGTTAGAGAACCACTGGAAAACCTGGGAGTACTGGACAGCTGTTTCGTCCTAGTTTGGGACTCTTCATCAGTGGGTAGGTGCTCATAATGAAATCCTGAAACCAATCAAATCCCTACAAACCAACACTTGAAAATCAATGAGATGCTCACTAGCGACTTGCCCTATTCAGGTATGTAGTCACCTGGGGTTCTAGTGAGAAGTCGTGACCAGTAGGGTACAGCAGGCCGGGAGTGAGGACAAATACTCGCCGAAGATATTGGCTAGGGGTCGCGCTATGTCGTGAATTGGCAGAAGTTAGAATTCATGGGCCATTGGATCGGGTCTCAGTGGCTAAATGTTATACGAGCTCGCCTTGTAACCAGAAGGTCCTGGGTTCGAATCCCGGTGGGTGCGTACTGCTTAAGAGTCCCAAACTAGGACGAAACAGCTGTCCAGTACTCCCAGGTTTTCCAATGGTTCTCTAACTAATGTCAGCTCATGATGAAATCCCAAAAATCTAAATCTCGTTTAGGCAGAAACAGTATATATTTTTTTTCAAAAATGTTCATTATCACTTTTCAGTTAATCTAATCATTACATATTCAAAACTACTTAGCACACAATATACCTATCTAAAATTGACAAACGATTTGTATACACGTATATATATACACATATATACATAAATCCTCATGTTTATATCTAAAATGATAGGCAGCATGTGATGGTGAGGTTAATGCATTTGTTAAAAACAAATATATACCGTACTGAATACTTATTTCTTATTTTATAGATTAGAATTAATGTAGGTACAGCGCTGTTTACATTAGTCTTGATTTCTGACAAACCCTGAGTGTGTGTGTGTGTGTGTAGTGATGATAGGCGGGCATACCTCTATTCAAAATAGTATAAATTCTGCTCTCTGATTCTAATTTTACAATTTTAACTATTATTCCATGCTTAACATATGTAATACAATTAAAACAAAAACGCGAAACGGTCAATAACTTTCAAACGTTACAACTGTGTATTGAAATATATTGCGAGAAAAATGGCGTCCATTAAAATCCTACTTCTCTCCATGATTCTACTGTTCTGCGTCTTTTCTCTCCTCTCAGTGGATGCAGCACCTAAAAAACACAGTCGTCAAGACGTTAATCACCCATCAGTAGATCGAATTTTCTCAAAAGTTAAAGAAGCTGAATTGAAAGACACACTGAGCGTTGGTGTCAAAATGAATGAACCAGATACACTAGTGATAGCACCAGTACGAGGATTTGATAGGGGTCATCATCAACGCCGAAGACGACGTCATAGACGTGGTAGACGTGGTGGTCGACGAAATAGAAGAAGATTTCAAAAAGGATTAAACAAAAAACCACATCTTGGCGGTTATCCAATGCATTAATGGTGATGGACTTCAGAAAACATTGTCACCTCTCTGTGTGAAATATTTTCCTCCGTGTATGTAGCAGAGGAAAGAACGACAACCTCAAGTGCGCTTCTTATAGGCATCTTCGTCTCTGCCTTGAACTTATAAATTATTTGTGGTAAATATATTTGTTGAATTAATTGATTAATTGTTGACTGATTCGATAATGTGATTGAAATGAACACTAGTCAAATTTTTATAATTGTTTATATTTGTAATAGGTATTTTTAACCTGGATAATTTGTTCAAATATACCATTTTGATTTACGTGTATATTTCTGATTTGAGCAAAAAACTAATTTAAAAGGACGTTCCACTAATAACTTTGGATATTTGTAGATTGGTTAATCACAGAATATACATATCGGATCATAGGAATTATTAAAAAGATGGTTGCACAGAAGAAAATTTTCTTTTCGACGTAGTTACCGTCAACTAGATAGCTGTACATTCGCGTATTTATATATTGAATGGGTGGAAAAGTTCCAGAATAATTTCTGGTCAAGGGTCAAATTAATAAAATTACAATTAGGAATTAAAATGCCATAATAAGCACGCATTGGGGAGGGACGGATAAAACTCAAACAGAGTAGCATCATAATTATTGAGAAGATTGACATTGATTGTGCAGCTGGGGGTTAGAAATGTAGAAATAACAAAATCAGACAGGATGTTTGGATAAAAAATCTAGTGGGTTCATAACTAATGTGACGAATAACTGTTTGTTTAGTTAGGGATTAAATATGTAGAAATAATAAAATGACAAAATAGACAGGAAGTTTGTGCGTCGGTGGCACAATGGTTAGGACTCTCGCCGACCATGCACATGGTCCGAGGTTCGAGCCCCTGCCGGCGCACACCCGATATCTATGGTCGGCCTGCAAAATTTGGGCTACCGATATCCATGCTGGAAATGCCATACTTGTACTGAAAATATGGTGTGGCATCAAGCTGTAACCAAAATAAAATAAAAAAATAAATAATAAGAAAGGCAATGGGATAGCCACTATAAGAAGAATTACCTATTTATGATGGCCATGGCAGGCAGGGACAAGGGTTGGACGTATTTCTTCTGGATGCATAGTGTGTGTTTGAGCTTTTAAATAGCCAGTGCCTCGGCTATGCCCATATGTCTTGATTTTACTCCCACTGATAGGTTAGATCTAATCTTGCATATGATTCTGAAGGATTTTCCCGATGACACTGAATGTCCTGAATTGAATAGACGTTCTGTCGCTGAACTATATTGACGTTTTAGTTTTCCTCTTACTTACCATGTTGGGTAGTATTGACGAGCGTGTTTTTCAAGTTGGCGCATTGTACTGCCGATGTAATCACCTTCGCAAGAGGAAGTAAAGTGGTGTATGCTGGTATAAACTGGCGTATATGGTTAATCATATGCCTATTCGGTCGTTGACATTAGAACAGCCCGACAGACAGTAAATATGTTGATATTCCATTATTATCACTATTGTTCTTTTTGGGTCCGAATGGAATATAGGAGGGATTCGGCAGCACGCCTCCAATTTTGTTCCATTTTCTGTGATCCTCTTTAGCTCGACCCACAATTGGTCATAATCTCTCATCTCCTCCTCACATGATCTTCTTCATATCACCCTTGGACGCCTAACTCATCCTTTCAAGACTGGGTTCCACTCGAGGGCCTGGTGCGAGACGTTACTCTATGATCTCGTTTGTTCCCAGAGAATCTTTCTGCTAATTCATTCTGGTCATTTGAATATGAATATGGAGCGAAGGCAACTGTTGATAAAAGTCAGCAGCTAACTGCATTAAAGCAGGAATTAGGGTGGCATTCAAACCTATAAACTCAATCACGTAGGAAAAGCTCTGTAGGCTAAAGGACCCTATCGGTTGATCCAATTAGACAAAATAATATAATTTACAAAATACCTTACAATAACTTTGAGTGAGTTTAGCTACATAGATCATACTAGTAGGTCGGGGGTAGTCAGATTGTCGGAACATGAGAGTTTAGCTAAGGTAAGAATGGTTGACCCCGAGAAGATAAGTAACTTCGAAAAAAGCGCAGCAGTCGCACTGCATGCATTGACACACAATCACACAATAGGGTGGGACAGAGTCGAAATCCTAAAAAGTAATATGGGTAGGTGAAAAGATAGAGAGATTGATTGCTAAATCCTCCCTGGTTCATCGAGTCAACACCCAACACATGCAACGGAAATGACTGAACGCAAATGCTAGAGATATGCATGGAAGATATTATTACCACCAGTCAGTCAAATCAGAGGAGGATAATAAAAAATCCCAAAATTCTATCTCAATTCCCGTACATCATAACATGATGCTGTAGTGTCAAATAAGTGAAGGAAGTAACCACTGTAAAATTTCCTCTGCTAACAGTGATTAATGCTGATTATTGCTGCTGGTTCGTGGCTATCTGCCTCACATCCTTCTTCTCTATGTTCCCCGGAATCCTGTCTTTGCTGCTTCTCCTGCTGTTTTTCTGGTTTTCACCTGTATATCTTCGAGTATGTTTGATACCAGGCGAAAATCATTCGAGAAATCCAGATCTCCTAAAGTATTCTTATCGGTCCAGTATAACCCAGTCTTTCCTTTTCCAACGCACAGTCTGACGCATAAACCAGTCCGCAATGATGAGGGATATCATCGGTGATAATATTTCATTACTCTCTGTTTGAAAGAAGTTGGTTGGATCACAAGCTAAAATCAGTTATAAAACCATTCGAAAACAAGTACTGGACAGTAATGGACAACAGTTTCGTTCTGAGTCCACCAGGGTTCGAAGGTAGGACCTTCCAATTACAAAGTAAACCAGCAAACTACCCAACCACTGGCGCCCTAACCAGTGGTCCATTAATCCTGATTTCTGCCAATTCGCGATGTATAGCTCGAAACTTCGGCATAAAACGTGTTTTATAATACCAAAAATGAACTCAGAATTGAGAAAAAAGGTTGACATTCCTGCTTTCGGTTGATTTCTTGTGAGATAAAGAGCAGATCGATGAATTTATTTTATCAGAATCAGGCTGTAGAATGCCTTCAAATCTTCGACAATTTACAATATATAGCAAAAGCATGATTCAACCGTTCTGTGTATTTCCTTAACAACGATTTTATTATTATCATCATTTCTTCGACTTCCGACTGGAACATAGAACTTCAGCAGTACATATTCATTTCACCTTGTCTTCTTCAATCTTCTTTAACTGGCCCTACGACTGACCATGTGCTTTCATCTTCTCCTCACACAATCTACTTCATATAATACTGGGACTCCCAACTCATCATTTTCTATTTAGATTCTACTCGAGGGTCTTAAGCTTGTTGTCAGTTAACTGTTTCTTCACAGCGTATGTCCAATCCAATTCCATTCCCTTTGGCATATTTGCCAGATGATAGGTTTTTGATTGGTTGGTTGGTTGGTTGGCTGCTACAGTCCCTTGTTGATGGGCTCTTCTGACTTCCCGATCTTCAGTGTGGTGCTAGTGAAGGCAGGTGTTTATGAAAGTCTGCAACAGACTGTTTGATATACTTTTGGTGACTAGCCAATCTCTGAATCCTATAGAGGTGCTGGCTTGACATGAATGTTGAAGATCCAGATAGCAAGTAAAAATGTCATGTGTAATGACTGCAGGCTGTTTTATGCTTAAGTCAATATCGATGTAGGTGTACATTGGCAGTTCAGCGGGGTTTGACTAACAGCCGCCGCACATCTTTACCTCCCTTAGCCGGTTGTGAGCTCGATAAAGAGGAAAGGCTGAGTGTGAGTCTGGCAATCTCGCCCCGTGAAAGTAAACGCCACTGTTACGGAAACTTCAAGGCTCAAGCTTGATGCCCAGTGTTCCACTCGGAACTCAAAGAAATGAAATGATAAAAATAAATAATTAAAATAAGGTTAGTAAATGTGGGTCTTTTCGTTTAAAATTCAAGCGTTACAGTCAACAAGTCAGACCATTAAATAAAGTACTGAGAAAAATTGACTTTAGTTGTAAGAAGTCAAACATTTGAACATTTATCAATCGAACTACAACAAACTTTTTGGTTCAGTCAAAGGTTGACAGATACCATTGTCATGTCAACTCTAATTGTCTTTACAAATTTACTTGTATCTGTGGAAACGATTACATTGGGAGAAAAGAGAGAAAAGCATATCTCAGATTCCCTGGACATGTCTCAAGGGAGCAAATGCTTTGAATGGTGGTGTTACCAGATATCTAGTTGATATAGGTCAATGAGTGGGCACCGGGAAGTCTTTCGATACTATTAATAGACAGTACAGATGAAATCTCTTTAGTTTTGTCGGAGCAATCGCTATCAAACGTTTAAAACCTGCGTTCAGAAAGATCCACTTATTAGTGAATAAGGACTAATACATTAGTCCTTCCTTGCCCTGCCTCGTTGATTACATAATCCTATGCTTTTGCCTCCCCAGCTTTTTAATTTGGTGTTATTCAGTTTTTTTGTTTCTATGACTTCAGTTAAACTCATCACACTTTTTTGATGTGGTTGTATTCTCTGAGCTGGATAGTTAATTTGCGAAGCTTTCATCACCCTACTAGGCCTAGATGTTGCCTGGTAGGGCGATGAAAGCTTCGCAAATTAACTATCCAGCTCAGAGAACATAACCACATCAAAATCATCCACCTGAGCTACAAATATCACCAAATTACTATACATCATCAATTTCTGTCCTCTTGTCTTGACTGTGCAACTCAATAACCAATAATTTTGCGTGTTTGTACTTTGATTAGCTGGAGTACTTTATCATGAGCTGACATCAGTTAGAAAACCATTGGAAAACCACAACTGTAACACTGGAAAGCTGCTTCGTCCCAGTTTGGGACTCTTCAGAATGCGCACCCACCAGCGAGCTCGTAGACCATTGAGCCACTGGGACCCGATCCAATGACCAGTCCATGAATTCTAACTTCTGCCAATTCATGACATAGTGCGAGCACTTCACAATGTCTTCT